TTAGATAAATGTTTGATTTTCTATTTTAGATAAATGTTTGATTTTCTATTTTAGATAAATGTTTGATTTTCTATTTTAGATAAATGTTTGATTTTTTTACATTGCTTAAGTAGAGGGATTAATTAATGCCACATTAGATTAGGGAAAGACAAAATGTCTATTTTATGTGTATGTTGCTTCATAGCAAAGCCACATTGGACTATCTGCTCTGTCCACCGAGGGGAAATCGAACCCCTGATTTTAGCACTGTAAATCTGTAGACTTACCGCTGTCCCATCAGGGGAAAATGTCTATTCAGTGGTTAGAGGTGAAAATAAGTCATAAGAAATATAACTTTAGAAACAGGACTTTCTGAATTTTTCCAGTTATTGAATTAAGTTCAGTGCAGACGTTTCTCTATGTGTAATATTCTATTGCATAAGTGAAGGGTTAATCACAAGAAACAATATCGTATAACGATGTTTGCAACAATGCTAGTTGGTAGCTATTGTCTTTTTATAACATGTGGATTGCACCGGTGTTAGACATGTATCTTGAACATTAGTCCTACATAACTAATTATGAAATATTAGAATGGACAAAAGATGATTTATGAATTACTCCAAGCAAGAGGAAGCTAGTTTTGTGAGCAGTCTTTATATGTTTTTACTTTGTTTGAAGTTAGCACTCAAAACCTAATTTTAAAATTGATCTTGCATATAGAGCTGGCATTCACATATTACTCTCTCTCTCTGTAATTTTTACCAACTTAAACTTGATTACAAATGTGTTTCAATTGCAACAAATCTGAAGTTTAAACTTACAATGACTGTCTCTTTATTATCCTAACTTTTACTTTATTCAAACTTCTATAAATATTTCACACCCGATATCTGGTAAAGTACTTTTTACACTAATTGTCTCTTTATCATCGTAACTCATACTTTATTCAAGCTTCTATAAATATTTTACACCAGATATCTGGAACATTATTTTTTGGCTGTGAATGATCAGTTAGTTTTTACAGTTTATTCTGCACTACCAACATTAACAAGATATAAGAAAGTATTTTTTTATATATAACATAAAATCTTTTTCATAACTTAGGTTCCTATACCTTTTTGACTGATCAGAATAGTTAAAAGAAATATGTTTAATTTGATAACAAAAATTATATTTTCCCCATGTTATATCGAATTTATTAACATACATTTTAGTTGTTTCAATAATAAAAAAAAAGCTATGCTGTTCAATCTTGCTTTCAGATCTTATTTTCCTTGGTGACACATCAAAATAAAAATTTATGGTTTCCCGAACATATCTGTTTATATGCTCTCACATCTTAGTGTCAAGTGAATTATGGTACAATGAAAAAACTTAAATTCTTTTTGAAGAAACCCAATAGTGGAATCAGTCACTAACTCATTAAAGATAATTGAAATATAAGAGAGAAAAAAATCAGGGAAATTTACTTTAATAAGAATCTCCAAATAATATTTCAAAGCTTTGAGCTGAGCTTCTTCCAAAACATCATGCACTCCAACTTCTTGTTTCAATGAGTAACGAATTACGTTTTCCAGGTCCGACATATATACCCTGGATGTAAAAACGAATGTTCTGAATCATATAACTTTGATAAAAAAATTTAAAACACCTGACAAAGAAATATGAATTAGCTCATGGCTTAGTGGTTTAATTCTTTGTTACTCAAAGAATACCTGCTGAAGCTACTCAATTAGTACGTATAAAAAAACTGTATAACCATGCACTGGTTTAAAAGAAATCTCTGAAATATGATAATTATATATACAATTCCATGTGACAAAATTACAAACACTGTGAAACTGATATAACATAGTCCAAGAAGATTCTAGAGGTAGAAAACTAAAACTTTATAGCTCTCTTCCCCTTTTCTGATTCATTTGTTTCATTTTATTTTTTATCAAATACACATACATCATTTTTTTGGGTCACATTTGCGTTAAAATTTATTACATTACCAATGCAATGTTATAAAATAGTACTCAAATACTGTAACAAACAAGCAAAAAACAAGAGAGTACAAAGGTCAACAGTTTAATCAGTAACTTTCTCTCAAACAGTATTATAGAGAATGGTATGTTAACTTTTGTGAACGAGAAGCAAAAAAATTAGCTTGCATTAAACCAATTCTTTTTAAAATGAAAATCTTATCAAAAAAAACTTTAAATAATAAAACTAGAACACACTAGTTTGAATGCCACCATCATTAAACATGTAGGCTTATTAAATCATACCTTTGAGACTTTGATGCTAACACACTGCTGTTGGTATTGTTATTTCTCATTGTTGTGCTTTCTGGTCCCGGGCTCTCTGTAGTTAATCGTAATAGCCGACTCAAGGTTTCAACAAATAGTCTTCTAGGTGATTCTCCAAACATTGGTCTTAACCAAATATAAATTGTTACATTATTAAATTACCACATTTCAGTAGGTGTCTGTGCTAATAATGACAAAAACAAGTTTAGACATCTAGAGCCATCTGTTTTATGATAAATACCTAATTTTACACTGTGATGAGACCTCTAAGATCAGATATTTGTAAGTCAGTTCAGTTGTCCGTACTGATGCTTACAAACTTTTTCATTCATTTTGGATTTGCTTCATTTCTTTTTTATTTTATCGACAAAGCTTCTTCAAGTTTTTAAACTTCACAGATCATTTGGTACTTTAAATAATTATTTTAATTTCTTTAAATTAGGTTTTAAAGGAAGCTTCGTCACACATACTTGAGCTAAAATGGGTAAAATTAAACACACATTTTTTTTTATAACTTGAACCTACAAACTCGAGATTATGCTTCTTTTGGGATGAAAAACAAATAGACAAAACACTGCTTAACATAAAAACTGATAAAAATATGGTATACCATAAAATATGTATACCAACAAAAATGGTAAAAACCTTATGTATAATGCTGTATGGTTGTATGACTAAATAAAAACACTTATCAGATTATCAGGCTTTCATTCTTCAACTATTTTTATAACACTAACATGCACACTATTAAAGTTCATACCTGTGCCAAAACACTTAGACAAAAGTTCGATGACGAGGAACCCACTTTGAGACTAATAATGCTTAGAGACGGCTTGATGATGATGACAAAACCTTGTCGAAACGTTGTACATTTGCTGTTATGTTAAACTTATATTAAAGTTTTCTTCATTACCCATTCAAACCATCTCTAAGCATTATTAGACAAAAGTTGTTTGCAATAACATCAAATCAAAACTTACAATACATGTTATCACTCACTGGATAAGAAGATGTGGCGATTTTCCACGCCTTATATCTACCAAGACTGGAAGAACTGAGTCATCAATATCCTGCAAAATATCTTCTACTAGATTAACGTTGGAGGTAGTTACTCTGACAACTCTGAGATCTTCTTCAGAGGATAAATCCAAGATGACCTAGATGAAAGCAAAAACAGTCAGATGCAAAGAGTGGTTTTGAAATTTTGTTCAATTAAATTTTTTTTCACAAATGGGATTAGGTACTATTACACAAAACCATAATACTTTTCATCCATAATATATCAAATATCAATGTATGTATTTCCATTTTACAATACTCAATATGAACTTCATATCAGGGTGGACGAAATACTAGCCTGACTATTTTCAATGAACATTCTCATTGCATAAATAAACAAGTTAGACAGCCAACACTCACACCATCTGCCTGGTAGAAAATTAAAATACGCAACTAGAATCTGAGATGATTCCAAACAAATCAGGATAAAATCTCATAATTTGGCAGAAGATTCCAGAATTTATCAAATAAAAGACCTTCAATAATATCTTCTGATTGTTTTTTATCACAGTAACAACTTTACACCAACATCAGAATCTAAAAGTTTTACTTCTGTGATAAATGTTTCCGTTGCCAAAATATGCTTTTAAATTCTTATCACAAAAGTTATGTCAATAAATGTTTGTAATCATACAAGCTTACAGGCTCTGTCACTTTCAAATTAATGCGTAATATACAAATTCTACTATAAAAAATGCATTAAAATAAAACAAATAGCTTGTGTCTAGTACATAAAGTGGCAAAATCTATGTATAAAACAATCAACTGACTTGAAAGATTTTAACATTACATTACTATTACCTTAGTAAACATAAATAACTAAAGGCTTACCACATTTTGTACTCATCTTCTGCATCAATAAAGACATAATGCTTCCATTTATGTTCTACAGAAATCATTAAAAAAAACATTGTCACCACAACAGTTAAACAGGTTCTGGCAACTATAAGGCTTTGAACTTCTCATTTTATAATAAACCCGGAATTGCAATCTGGTAAACAGTCACCTAAATCACCCAATACAAGAATATTTTGGTTCAAATACTACAAAAGTTTACAACTGTAAAACTAAAACTAACTTCTCGCCCAATGTAAGAGTTTTCAGGTTCTATCACAACAAAAATTGAATCCCAGTTTGTTGGAAGATGTCTCCACATTTCACTAACTGTTTGGGATATTCTGGAAAAAAAATTAAGTTACAATGTGATCATTCTTCAAACACATTTGTATTTTTACATATAAAAATTACAAAAATGTTAAAATACAAAATTTCACATAATAGAATTTCTAAAAGATAATTTGGTCTCTCATCATGTTCTGTATATATGTTCACGTACAACTATATACATCGACGGAGAGTTTCTGTTCGCATATGTACAAATTTGATATCAATTTAATGTAATATAAAACAATAAAAACCCTAATCCTATAACCCAAACACTTTCCAAAGGTGGACCATTCTTCTTCAGGGGCCAACTAAAGAAAGGTCCACCTTTTGAAAGTGCTCTGGTTATAGGGTTTTTATCATTTTATATTAAGACTTCTTGAACCTTCATGTTTTTTCTGACATCATGAATTTAACGTAATAAATTTTAAATAGTGAAAAAAAAAGGTGGATGATTAGTTAGAAAAATAAACAATATATAAAAGATACATGAATACACAAAAATAAGCCCCCAGTGGCACAGTGGTATGTCTGCAGACTTGTACTGCTAGAAAGCAGGTTTCGATACCCATTGTGGGCAGAGCACAGATAGCCCTTTGTGTAACTTTGTGCTTAATAACTTATTATTTATACTCTGGGTGGTAAATTTGGTTACGTCCTTTCAGCCTCAACGTGTTTGAGGACAACCAGGGGTGTTCAGAAGCTTTTTTCTGCTTCTCTTCAACCCCACTGCTTGGTGAGGGATGTACATATTCGTGAGTATTATAGTTGGTCCTGTATTTGGTTTGACCGGGTCTGGAGCATACATTAAGCTTAGAAAATCAGGCAGCGGCGCCTTCGAGGATGCGTCGGGTGGGATAAAGCACTAGGGCTAAAAATTTTGGGTGGGGGAGGAGGCCGTCTGTCTGTCCTTTTCAGGGCTAGGAGGAGGACCATGGTCCAATTCTCAGAATTTTGCTGTGGGGGGAAACGGGAGCAGCCCGAGAAAACCCATTTTCACTGGTCAGGCGCCGAATAATCTACCTGACGAGTGCCCAAAGCTGAAAAAGAAATTTCTTTTAGTTACTTAGTGAGTGTTTTATGTGTTTTCTAGGCTGTTTATGTAATTGAATGGTGATATGTATGTGCTCCAAGTTTCTGGTGTTAGAGCTAATTGTTTGAACTGTTTGGTCTGTGTGTTCCTATTTTTGGCTATTCTGTAAAATTTCGTGGCAAGTTGTGTAAAGCGATCTTTGATTCTTGGTAACTTGGTAATGTTGTGTAGGTATTCTTGAGGTGTGTAGCTCGGCAGTCTGTGTGCAATTTTAATTGTTCTGTTTTGTAAAATTTGTAGTTTCTTGTATTGGTTATCTGATATGTTACATGTTACTGCACTTCCGTATTCCATGAGTGGCCTGATAAATGCTCGGTAGATTGTTATTAATGATTTAAGTGAACATCCTTTGTTTGTTACGGCTATTTTGTTTAGGTATTTTACTCTGACATTAATTCTTGTTGTAATGTCCTTGAAATGCGTGTTCCATGTTAAATTTGAAGTAAAGTTTATTCCTAGAAATTTAACTTTATTCGTGAAGGTGATAATAACGTCATTAAGTTTTAACTTGAGATTATTGAATTTTTTCTTTAATTTGTTTATTTTTTACCATCCCGATTAATTGTCTGGCACTTATATACAAGAAGAGGACGCCTAGCAAATACTGAATTATTCGTGATGTTCCCTGATCATTCTAGAACTCATTACGTGTTATGAGCGTCACGTGACTTCCGCTGTCGTAACACTGTCCCTTCCTTAGTATTGTTAGTCCCGAACAATAGCCATTTACATTAAACCAATAGAAAATTAACAATAACTTAATTAAATGTACAGAATTTACAAACACAAAATTAAAATTCAACAAAGTATTTTAATTTTTCGGGACTTATCTTCTTCCGTACTGGTCTCCATCTGTTGGCTTCTGCTTCATGTGGGGTTCATCTGCTTCATCAGGAAATGTCCTATCGTCGATAACAGTCACATCAGTGGTAGTAACTTCATCAAGGGCTTCACTGTTTCCCTTCTCAAAACCGGATAGAGTTTCTTCTTCGACAGTGGCTTTTTCAGGTGACGCATCTTCAGCAGCGTCATTTATTTCACTGTTCACTTTGTTCCAACTAAAACGTCCTGGACCGTGATAACACCAAAGCCTGTTGGCATGCCCCACCTTTGGCTTACCTCGCTGACCACATTTTATTCGGACAGTCACGTCTGAGAGATGATCTACTATGCCATATGGGCCTTCCCATGGAGATGACAGCTTAGGAGACTTCCCTTTGGTCTTCCTGGGATTATACAATCACACCTTGTCTCCTGGTACAAAACTGACTTCAGTATATCTCTTATCATAACATAACTTCATCGAATCAGCAGACGTTTTCAAGGTAGAACGCACTTGATGGTGAATATTATCCATCCTTTCCAACAACACTTTCACAAACTCTGACATATTCACAGGCAACTCTTCATAACGTGGGCGTCCTGTTAACAGATCCACTGGCAACCGAAGTTTCCGACCAAACATAAACTTTGC